ACAATAAAACCAAATGGTAGCACAGAAAAAAAGGGCATCCTAGGGAGGCCCGAAAGAGAAACCCTTTTTAACCTCACATTTTATGGCACACATGCGCTAACAGGTTTAAAAATTACATTTAATGACAATTGGCAGAGTGCCCCGGTCCCTCTGCTTTTTCCCGCTCCTTTTCCCCGCACTTTTCCCGCTTTTCCGCTGAACATGTGTCGCCGATTCGAGACATCCCCGCGCATTCCGCGCGCAATTTCCAGGCAAGTTGCTCCCATTAGCCACATAATTTTAAGTGTGTGCGTTGCCCGAATTTCCACCATCCCTCCCTCCCTCACCGCTTTTCACGGGTCGGGACAGGACTGTCGCGTAGAACGAGCTCATTTAATATTAAAAGGATTTATGAGACATTTTCCTTTCATTTTGACAACGAACAACGGCGTTTGGGGGCGGGCAGGTTGGGCGTTGAGCGTCTGAATGGCGAAAGGCGAATGAAAATGCTGCGCCGTTGATGAAATTTTCGCTTAACAGAATTTGCGACGCTTGGCGGACGTCGGCGGAGCCTACGCACGGTTAAAGGGTTTTCCATTTTCCAAAAACCAACCCCCCTTCCCCTGCACCACAAAGCAACCCCCAATTTCATTGCCTTAGTGAAAACCCCTTCCCCAATTTCCGTTTGCCATTGTTGTGAGCTCTCGGCAACTTTGCGCTGGTTTAGCTTACGCCCGGGAATTATTTGAGTGCTTTTTTGGGAAGCGTTCCGCAAAGGCCGCCCCTTCAAATGCCACGCCCCCATTCCGGAGCGTGTGAAAGTGCAGACGCCTTGTAAATATACCCGTGTATCCGTGGGTGTGTATTTGTGTGTGTACATTTTTGACAGATTTGAAAATTATTATGCAAAATGAATAATTTAGTTGAAAGTGTTAAATTGATTTGGCCTTTCCCACTAACATGACAGACATCGGCTTCTCCTCGGGAGATGATGGAGATGATGGTCATGTCGGCATCGCTTTTCATCCCCATCCCCATGAATTGCTAGGGTGCAATCTGGAGGAGGATGTTCCAAGTGTGGATAAGGTCGGGCTATCGATGGCAGCTCTGTCAGAATGAAATATACATGCGACTTGTCAACCGACTTGCGTTTCGATGAAAGGCAGTGATAAAGTGTCGTTTTTATTGTATATTCATATTTACATGCTACGCCTCCTTAAAATCCATAATGTTTGGGGAAAGGCGTAAATCTATTTATTAAATAAGCGGGATAGGTGTCAGGTTGATTGATTGCCTCTTATTTTATGAGCTGGAGACATTGTTCTATAACTCATCTTTATTATTGCCACCATTGAACTGTTAAGATTTTATGGCTTTACTATTTATTAAATTTTAGCCCTACCATTTTCCGTTTAAACTTAGTTTAAGATAACAAATGAAAGGCATTTAAAAACGCATAATCAAATAATTTTGTCTCTTATTTAAATTTCTTGAGAAATTATTGGAAGAATTTAATAATATATGTATTTATTAAATTTTATGTGCCTCAAAGGAGACCTTTAAAGGCTTATATGTTGATTGTAGAATGGTTTTTAAAGCTAGACAACCTAAATGTTAACTCTTTTCTCCGTTAATGCTCCGTCCAAAAGGTCGACTTTCTTGTCAACTGCATTGTAACAGGTCCGCCTTCTTGCGCTTCTGTAAGTTCCTCCTCCGCTGCCACGCCCACTCCTGACGTCATTTGTCAAATTTTGCGGCATTACCCGGCCAAAAAGACATGGCCATGGCCAAACATTGTGCCAGTTGTCGGCCCCACCTACTCGACCCCCCCCATTCTGGCTCATCCGGCGACTCATCGCAGTCCTTGTGGCTAATATTGACATTCCTAATCTGTGCTCCGCTGCGGTGGCCGTTAAAATGCCGTGTCACTTCGTTAGTATGCGTGTGTTGTGCGATTTGTATTTGAGTATCTGCGTATCTGCGTGTCCGTGTATCCTCGTATCTGGGTATCCGTGTTTCCCTGTTTCTCTGTTTCCCTGTTCTCCTGCTGCCGCATGTGTATTTGTCTTGAGGTCGCGTTCGGTTCGGTTTTGGGTGTGTTTTGTTTTTGATTCATGCCCCGCTATCAGCACTGGGCGTGTTCCCAAACTGGTTCATTTATATTTGATGATGACATTGCCGACATCGGCCGAGCAATCAAACTCCCGGCTCCAGTTTATTAGTTTAAGTAGCTCCATTTTGGGAGTGATTAGTGCGGGGCGTAGTCCGTTGTGGTCGGCTGCTAAAAGGGAGCCTGTGGGGTCACACAGAGAAAACTATATTTGTTAACAAATGTGGATCATTATTTGGTAGACTCCTTTTTGGATTGCTCTACAATGATAAATATCTTTTAAGTTCTACTCCAAAATATATTCCACATTTATTCCAGAAATTACAAAAAATTAAAAGACTTAAATGTAATGAAAGAAAGCAAAATCATTTATTAAGTCTATCAATTTTGGCTTTTATATAAATTTAATTAAATCCGTTAGTCCTCATAATTTTAAAACTTACAAGTTTTGATCAAATGTGTTAATTTAAATGTTAAGTTCTGGTTCCAACTTAAAGATATATATTTTTTTTTTGGTTGCATACCCTAAGACACCTTTTTCGGTGACTTCAAAACACTGCAAATTTCTATAGATAATTTTTGGCTAGTGCACAGACACACTCAAAGTGCTGGCCACTGCAGTTTGAATCGCTTTTTAACAACGCTGCAATTTCTGTACCCATTTTGTGGCTGGTGATGATGAGCCACCCGGGTGGTGCATTGGATGACGGGGTGGTGCCAGGGTGTTGCTATAGGTTGGTGCCGGGTTCAACGTTGTCTCGGACGTCATGTTGTTACAGTTACTTTCTTGCAGCGCACTCTCAACTTGATTTCTGCTCGTTTTTTGCTTTCGCAAATTGTTAGAGGGAACACCCGCGGAGCACCCCACCCAACCACAAGCTCCAGTCCTAACTCAACCTGGCTAAAGTGCAGCACAGACAAAAAAAACAAAACAAAAAAAAAAGAACAAAATAAACCAAAGGAGGAGGAAAAACTAAAAGCGACAGGAAGAAGGAGACCGAAAACAGAAGCCAGGAGCTGAGCAAGAAGACAGGACTCAGGACTCAGGACTCGGGACTTGGTACTCTGGGCCAAAGCGATTTGCCTTGCCAAAAGCTGCACGACCAACTTTGTAGTAACATCTAAACCTCCCCTCTCGCCCCCTCTCGCTCTATCTACCAGAAATCGCTACTGTGTGTGTGTGTGTGTGAGTGAGTGAGGGCGACAGCACAAGTGTTTTAATTTTACGACATTGTATGAATTTTACTGCTGGCACTGCAGAAACATCAGCACCGCTGTTACATATCGTTAGCTTCCTTAACGGACATATCCCACATCGCCCCCGCCATATAGCCTGGTGGTGGTGGTGGTAGAGGGGGTGGTATGGGGGGTTGGTAGTGGGTGCCGAGCTTCATCCCCGTTGTCTGCGCCGTGCTCATAAATTGCAGCTTGCAAGCGTCAGTGCAATCAGCGTCATCAGCTTCATCCGGTTTATTCGAGGGTCCCTCGAACCGTGGGTCCCTCTCCACTCTACTCCACTCCACTCGCCTTGGATTTACCCATCGCCTCCCATCGCATCCCATCCCAAAGCAGCCAACCATGACAGCCTCTGAACTTAGCCCAGGTCTCTGGGGTTTACTTAGCTTGTGGGTAATTTTTTAAAAATTATACAAATTAAAATTGGTGGGGCCCTGCGATGGGCCCACTGTGCCTTAACTGCCGTCACTTAACGTTAACAGTTTACGCTTGCCTGCAGGCCAAAAAGGCTGGCGTTGCACTGCACATACGCATGTCCTGACACTCGGCAGTCAGCACACACTGATGTACTGCGGGGAAATCTCTGGAAAGCGATGGCATTTGCGTTTCCTAAGTTTTCCGGATTGTGCAGATGGCAAGAGAAGCAAGTCTAGTGAAAATTGGTAAAGCGGCTTAACTATTTCAAAGGCTTACATAATCTAATGTGAGCAAACAAATCTTAATCAATTGCGTTTACTAAATAAGAATGAAAATAGTGTGATAAAAACTCCTTTACAGTTAATTCGGATACATTTATGTTCTGTTTAAGATACTAAACTTAAAAAAGATATTATAATTTATTAAACAACTTTTGAAGCATTAGTATCAACTGCATGAAACTAAAAAATTTAAGATTGGAAACTTATGAATGGAATTTCAAAAATTAAAACAATATAATAATTAGAAGAAACTATTAAATTTTTTTATAAAACATACAATCAATAATTCAGTATGTAGAGTACCTTCAAGAACTGGAAACATGTTTTTGTATAGCAATGTAAAGAATTATAAGTTAAACTATGAACTAACTTTAAGCATTAACCTTAGCAATTACCTTTAAAATACATTTTTTTAAGTGCGTTGACAAAAAGCCATATATTTTGTAAAGCCATCTCTTGATCTCCCCGAGTTTAGAAGGCATTTTTGTGAGTGCACCTACATTGCAGGCCTGAGGCAGCCTGCTCGTCGTTGTCTCGCCATCATTTTCGGTGCTGGGTGCTCGACGGCTGCTGCTGCTGCTTCTGCTGCTTTTGCTGCGCTAACTGCGTAAAGTTGGCACTTGAAACTGTCAGCTTAAAAATGCCAGCTGCACACACACACACACACACACTGAGAGGAGAGGAAAGAGAATAAGGGGCCATGCATGTAGTACATAAAATGCACAAAATGGTCGAACGACTCATGGCGAAAGTTGGTGGCCATAAGTTACAGGAACTTAAGGGGATGAGTGGGTGGGGTCGAAGGTCGGAACCTCAAGTTTCCCTCAAGTCTGAGAGGTCATAACTTTGGGAGTAACCCGCGTAAAGTCCGCGTATAAAATGCATATTTAAATAGCGTCCCCCGCCACTTAACCTTTCCGCTCATTACTCGCCCACTTGTATTAACCCGTTTTTCGCTTTTCTTGGCCCCATTGCAGATGGTGACGAGAACGAAGAAAATCTTTGTGGGTGGCCTCTCGGCGCCCACCACACTGGAGGATGTCAAAAGTTACTTCGAACAGTTTGGTCCGGTAAGTGGAGAACTCCCTTCTCACCATACATCAATATCTTGCAGCCATAGCTACATCGAAACCAGGAGCCAGTCACATGCCAAAATGCTAAACGAAATGAAGCAAAATAATAATCATAAAAAATCAGAATGACAGGCAGTGGAGCAAATCATGCAATCTATTCGCACTGCGCGTGTTCCCCCAACAATGTTCGGGGTGAAATTGTATATATATATATATACATATATTTGTATTTTTTTTTTTTGCTTGCCGTAAGCAGTGACACCTTCACTGGCTGCCACTTGCCACGTTTTGTTTGATCAATAAAAATGCCAGAAAAAAAAACCAAAAATTACAAAGCCAGCGAATGAAAGAGAAAAACCTCTGAAAAAATTCGAACCAAATTCAATCTTGACAAGTACTGCAAAGCACAGGGCTCCACTACGCCCCCCTAAAAACTCCACTTAAGCACACACACACAGACTCATACACACATATGCATATCGAGTGTGCAGCTGTGTGTGTGCTTGCGACTGAGTGCCGTTCGAGTGCTCTTTAAGTTCTCCATTCAGCCATGTTCGAAAAAAGGCCGAAACGGGGGCTTTGCCAGACTTGTTATAGCGCAAAAAACAAATTTTTAGCACGAGCACAAAAATCCTGTGTTGTTGATTACGATACTAAACGAAAATCGATTTGTTAGACGCTCTTCCACCTTACCGCCGCCGATTTTAATGAGCGACTCTCTCGATCCCGTTGAAGCGCAAAGAAAAAAGCCCCAAACACGGATTTTCATTAACGATGTGCTATCGGATGTTAAGGGGATATCTGAAGAGGATAGAATATGTGGAGAAGAGTTTAAGAATTAAATGGTTGGTGTAAGGTAGCGAAAATAAAAGGCTGCACAAATTCTAAAGCCCTAAATATGAAAAGTTAAGGTTAAGTTGCTTAAAACCCTTTTTTAGGCAATTTGGTCATAATATAAAACACTGCAAATTGTTTTACTTCGAAGAAACTGTAAACCCATAATAGATACCCAAAAGGTATCACCAGATTGCCCTGAAAGCAGTTTGGAAATTTAACTCCCACTCAATACTTAATCCCAATAACTCAAACTTCCATTCAATATCCCCTGCTGGGAAAAAAAAGGATGCCAATCTCCATCCTCAAACATTATCAAATTTCCGAGTCACCCAGTGACAAATTTGAATGATGGAAAAAAGTAGCTGTATCGGGTGGCAGCTAAAAACGCCAGTATTTGTTTTTTTCCCCAGCAAATTACTCAGCCTGCTCTCGAGGGGATTTTCGACGATTTTTCTCGATTTCCCGGCAACCCATCCGAAAGCCACCTCCCCCTCGCCACCCACGAGAATGAAATTCAACTCCGCAGGTAAAGCTTCCGATAATTGACATAAATTGGCGCAACTTTTTGTCAGCTCCTCGCCGCAAGACGTCAACTGCCATTTGCAATGCTCCATTGCCCCGCCCACTATATATACATATATATAAATATATATATAAACCTATAGCACTTGATAATGCGAATATAATGACGAGCGAGGGAGCAGAGCATCCATAAACGGCCATCAATCAAATCAGCGCTGGGTAACGAAATGCTTTTAAGTAATTTTCATCATGCCCGGCGAAACTGTCAAAATCCATAACGATCAAATAGTTAAGATACTACATCGCACGCAAATATATGTATGTATATGTATTATACTACTACATATTATATGGCGAAAAGGTGAAACAAAAGACGGCGGGCGATTTAACCAAGCGCGAATTCTTAATGGAAAACTTTTCAATTAATCCGCATCGGCAAAGGAAATTATAATAATAACTTGGCTGCGAGTGTATAAGCCCAGTGGCTATAAGCTGTGCCGAGAAACTTTCGACAGGCAAACAAAACAGAAGCCCAAGACCAGTTTTTCCCACCCCGTGGCCAAGTTATTGATTACAACTAATCCCCTTTGGCTTTTCCCTGCCGCCTCATTGGGCAGCTGGGAAAAGCCGGGGAAAAGCTACGGAAAGTCTAAGGGGGGTGGGTGGTGTTGTGGGGTAAGCGATTTTCGCCAGGGCCATAAGCAAAATAGCAAAATGGCAACCGGCGGCTTAGTTTACCTCCCGGCTTTTCCTCCGGTTTTTCCCTGTTTTTGGCGGCAGGTGACCAGCGAAGCGTTAATGACTTTAGCGGCCATTTTTCTTCCGCTTTGGATGATGAGATGAGCACGGAGAGATTGCTCCTGGCAAGATTGATTAGCCGGACAAGTCAGAGCGCGCCATTCAGTATGATTAATAGTTGCATGCGTAGCACCCACAACAACGGATGCCATATAGACGAGTTTATATATCAACAAAAGATAGAAATTTATGGCGCACTGCTGCCAGCCAATTTCACGTTGCCAGGGCAACCTATTTTATATCAGTTCGCAGCGAAAGCCATTTCATTTTTATTGTATCTTTTCAAGTACCATTTCCAAATGTTTTCATAGTTGCTTAGCTGCATTTCCACTTGCATTTTGCTGTGGAGGAATACCACTGTGGGATGCTCTTCATAAATGTATACTCTGGAACTCACATTTCGTAATAGAAGAATTTGTTCAATTAAAACTGCATTAAAGTGATAGACATATTCTATTCATCAGAATTACAATTTAATGTTTTTTCAAAACAGATTCCACTTTCAAAGCCGTAATCTTCAAAATATGCATTAATTACATAAAGAGAAAATCATTCTCCATTCTTAAAATATTTAAAACTTTGTAAGAAAAAAGTAAATTTATGTTAGCTATTTCTAACACTCTTTTTCCTTACAAATATATACATTTGTATCGGTCGGCCGTCTATGGCCCTTAAATCCCCACCAAAAAGCCCCTTTTAAATGCAAATCACAAAACTATTTTCCAAATGCAAAAACAAATCAAAAGAACTTAGAACTGAGAGAAAAAACTAACAGGATAAACAAAGCACAACGGGTGAATTTGAAATTGGCCCTGCGCAGGTTTTCCCTGCAAATGTTCTATTTAACAAGCACACACACACACACACACACATGCATATGGGCTGGGAGGTGGAAATGTGGAAAAGTGGAAAACTGCCACCCAGCTGACCTCAGATGCTGCAACCTTTGGCCACTGATTTTATTGCAACTGATGCAGCTGCTGCTTCTACTGCTACTGCTGCTGCTGCAAGCTTTGCGATAACGAAAATTCCACATTCGGAGGGGTTGGCAAGGGGAAAAACGAAAAGGAAAGAGGGTGTGGGAATCAAAACAGAAACGTAAAGCTCGTTGGCTAAAAAATTGCAAATAAACTACACATTTTGTAAAATCCCTCCGCATGGAAATTGCCCGGCCAACTATCAGGATCTGGCAGCCAAGTCCTGCCTCCTTTGGACTGGCTTTTAAAGGTGTTTACGGTGTTTGCTTTTGCAGATATACCCTCGTTCCCTATCTCCTATCCACAATCCCCCCGCACCGCAAAGGTAAGTAAATTTAAGCGCTTTTCATAAGCATTTTATGGGGGCCAGGACCCCGAACCTCGCCAGGCAAATGGCCAAAAGTGCACCATCTCGCAGGGAGCCTGGCCAAAATGGTTGGCCAGGCCACTCAAATGTCAGATAACTCTCTTTCCACCTCTGGAGACCCGCCCACTTCGGTATTAATTATGACAAATCATGCAAAGCAAAGCCAAAACGAAAACAACAGCAAAAAAACACCAAACTAATTTCATTAAAAAACAATTTTTTATGATTTAATTATGGAAAGGAAAGCGAGCGTCAGCTAAAATACACTGACGCAAAAACAAACATAAGTCCAGGCGAGATTAAGTGAAGTAAAATAATTTTACAACGCTGAAGGCATTACGTAGATAATAATAATAAAATATTGTGACTAAAACATATCCATTAACATTGTGTGGTTTATAATTTTTTTTTAGAAATTTATATTAACACACAAAATTAGGGCTTTAAATTTGTTCTAAATTTAAGTTAAATAATAAAAATCAATACATAAATAATAAATACTTTAGAAAACAGACTGCCATATAACTATTATATTTTAATTTTATTTAATTTACTTAAAACAAAGAGTTGCTGTAATAGGGTTTTGGTATTTCATAACATTTTGAATTCTTGATCATTCGATATTAGGGGGTTCTAGTTACGAGAAATCTTTGGCTAAAAAGCCTAATTTTAATTGGTATTTTTGGCAGTGCCCAATTCTGGATGAGAATAGGAATCCGAGTGAGTCCTGGTTGCTGCTGCTCCTGATTCTGTCAGAGTTCACCTGGCTGTCATAACTGTGGGCAATTTTTGAGGCGCTCTGAATGAAGTGTCTCGCCCCCTCTCTTTCGGCCCCCAGCTAGCTGTCTCTTTCGGGGAAATGTAGGGCTTGAGGGGCATAAATTATGATGCGCAAATCTTCAGCTGGCTGAATGTAAATGTAAATGAAGGCATGCCAGAGTTTCAGTGTGCGTGAGAGTGAGTGTGTGTGTGTGGCTGAGTTGACTGTGTGTGAGTGAATGCACGATGAGTGGCAGATTTGCATAATCCTTAGCAAAAGGTTTCATGACAACGCTGCTCGAAATGTCAATGTGGGTGGATGTGATGTGCCAGTGATGTGCCAAAACCCCTGACAAACAGCAGGCCCCAACTCAAACTCAGGCCGAGAGCCACCCTAGAACCTTTCGAGCCACTCTAAACCGGCCCAATCATCTATAAGCTGCGGTTGCCTCTATTCGTAATTAACAGCACACATATGTGTAGGTGCACAAACATACACGACAAACACACGACAAACACACGGCAAACACTCAGCTGCCATTTACATAGCCAATTAGTTATACATAAACACAGACAGCAGCGACAATAACAACATCAACAACAACAGCAACAACAACAACAACGATGCCAATTTTCACCTTAATCCCTTGGCCGCAACTAATTTAATTGTGTTCAATTTGGCATAAAGGCGTTTAATGCAAAAGACATTTGGCAAACAAGTATCCCCCCTTTGCCTT